CCTGAAAAGGGTCAAGAGTTATTTAGATATTTATATGCGCAAATGCAAAAACACCATACTATTTATAGCAGACTTTTTCCAGAGATCCAAAGTTTGGATTGGCACTGCCATATAACTGGCCATGACTTTTAATTAAAATGGAAGGTATGAAGACACTTGACCACACCCTAAATAGTTTGGTTGTTTTGTATAAATACAGCCTTCATCACATTCTCCAATAATATTGCAAAGACAGAGCCTATAAATCACCTTACAAACAGAAAAATCAAGATTAAAACAGCCTAACACTTTCATAATAAGATAAAGACTAACAATACCTTATCACCATTTCTAAATAGAATGTTTTCCTGAATGTGTCAGGCAATATTCCCACTTGAGTTGTTTTTTTCGTTGTTTGTTTTTTGAGGAAAATTTATCTTTAACATCTTTGGAATTTTTTTGCATTTCTTAATTTAATAGATAATGTTTTTAAGAAATGTTTTATTATAAATAGGGTGGTGAGCTTATTGAGGGCAGAGGACTATATCTTCTCCATTCATTCCCAGTAACTTCCATAGTTGAGGGACTGCATAACCAATATTTGTTGACTAAATAAATATTCTAAAATTCCTAACAACTGACAATATTATATGAACAAGCTGTATTTGGCCGATAATTCTTTGAATTGGAGCAATATTTACCAAAGAAAAATTAATACTTTTTTTCCTTAATCTTAAAATATGCCTCAATTATCCTTACTTTAATTTTTTTAAATTAAATGTTACACTTTAAGCTAGCAAATGGTTATTTAGATCACTTCTTTACTATTTTGTTTTGTGGTTTGATGAAGAGGAAAAAATGATCCGTAAAAAGTAAATAAAGTATGTGCAATTCTGAATCCAATTCTATATGTTGAAATTTGAATTTTAATAGTTTTGAGGAGTATATTTTAATAATGCCGTGGAAATAAACCAATTTAAAATGCTAATGAAGTGAAGATATTCAAGATTAAAAAAATGATGGATTCACTATCACAACCCACGTATGATTCAGGATGATTTGCACATAATGATATATTAGATAAAGATCCAGAGAATGTATATAAAATGATCTAGACCCAAAGACCAAAAAGCCAACATCTTAAATGCGGTTTCATAGCAGTTATTCTTTTTACTGTTTGGGGGCACCTGAGTGGCTCAGTCGGTTGAGGATCTGACTTTTGGTTTCAGCTCAGGTCATGATCTTATGGTCGTGGGATCGAACCCCAGTATAGGGCTCTGTGCTCATCAGGGAGTCTACCTCAGATTCTCTCTCTCTCCCTCTGACTCACTCTCTCCCTCTCTCTTAAATAAATAAATAAAATTCTAAATAAATAATAAAATAAAATGCTCTTTTAAATTAAAAAAAAGTCCTATCAGCTAACCAACCATATACAAGTCACCAAGGAAGAGCCACCCTGTAAAGTAGAACCTAATTCAATCACCTTCACTCCTCCCAAAAAATAAGTAAAAAGAAGAGAGATAAGCAGAACTTATAACAGCTCTCAGCTCTTTAATATAGGGAAGAAATTATTTAAAATATTTTGATTCTAGTATTTTGCCTTTATCTTATTTTTTTTAACTTCTAAATAATCTAGAAGTTCTATCAAAGAATTACTGCTTGGCACCCGTCTACTTACCTATGATCTAATGTTTTCAGAGGAAAGCACATACAAGCCTCATTTCCCTCTTAAACTTAGATATTAAATTGGAAAGATACAATGCACAACATTTTCACAAATACATCTATGCATCCTTGATTTTTGCTATTTGTAAATATCACTCAATGGCTCAACAGCATAATCTCTCCTTTTCTTTCCTGATCTCATTTTCTCCAGAACAGGTTTCCATGACAACTTATATGTGATTTTTTTTTATAAATTTCAATTTTGGAATACTATTCTTAAGGGTAAGAATTCATTTAAGTATAAATATAAACTTATCAAGTTAACCTAAACAATTTTGACCTTTCAAATACGTATTTACATCATAAATTTAAAGCAACAGAAGAGGGAAATGCCAACTAAAACAGAAAGCAAAAATACAATGTTATAAAATTAAATTAATTATCCAGTTCCTATCAGTGTTGTTTCAGTGTGGCACTTAAGATCATAAAAGTTAGAAATAAAACACTTCTATTATATAATTGAGTCAATCTCCTCAATATTGGGAAAAGATAAAGATGATGATGACAGGTATAACAAACTGAAAAAGGAATTCAGACAGTTAAAAATGTTCAAGTATATCAATAAAAGATGAACTAATGTAAAAAAAGTAAAGAGGGTTTATAAAAGTTAAATACTTAACTTCTATTAAGAATGAGACTTGTGGCAGTAAGACCACAGCTGAAGCAAACCACTTGATAATTGATTTACGTCTTCTAGAATCATGTCCATGCAAAATATAATTTCATCCTGTGACCGACCTCCCAATGTAATTCTATTTATCAAACTAGTCAGATAACATTAAGTCAGGCCATCATCTGAACTAAGAGTTCATATAAAAATATTAAATCACATTTAAGTAGAACGGCAACTTCTGGTTACTCTTTTTTAGGCAACCCCTAATAATTTGAAAAAGGATTTCCCTGAAGACAAGTCCCACAAATGTTAGCCAGTCTGAAAGAAAGAAAAACACTACGTATCGACTGGTCAATAAAAATGCAAAGTTCAAACAGGGTTCAAGAAGTCAATTTGAATTCCATATTTTCACTCTAATGTTAGGCAGTGAAGGGTAAAAATTCTACCGAAGTCCTGGAATACATATATTTTTTAAAAAGTCATAGAGGACCTTTCAAAGTTCGAATTCTAGAAAGTGCCTTATGCTGCATTAAATCTCAAGAGCAACATGATCTGTGGAGATTTCATAAGCCAGTCAGTTATAATCAGTGGTTGTGGTAAAGAAGGACCTGGGGAGGATGTCATGAGACCTCCAGCATAATTTTGGATCTGCTATTAACTTGCTGTATGACCTTGGCCATCACTTAGCATCTGCAGTCCTCATTTTCCTCATCTATAAAATAAAGGGTCTTCATGAAGTGACCTCAAGGAAATTTTCCAGGTCTGTGATTCTCAGCTGATTCTGCTTCTAATGGCTCTTTGACCTTGTGTTAATCTCTAATATATCTGTGTTCTTTCCTCACCTGATATACCCTTAATATTGTTACAATGAAATCTTAGTAAGATTTTTTTAAAACTATTTTCAAGTTAATAATCTACCCTTTGACCAATAACCAATAAAATCAATTTCCATAGCAATAATAAAAATTGAATACCATCATAAAGTTTTTGCTATGCAATCTAGCCTATAATACAAGACATTATATTATCATGAGGAAAGATAATAAAACATTCTGTCTCTTTTATAGCGCGCTATCTGGAAAAAAAAAAAAATCACATGATGAGCCTGAAAACAAATTCAGATTATCTTTTTAGCCACCAAGTGGAAAGAGCACTGTGGCACTCAGCTGGAATTGAAAAAAAACACAGATGTAATTGTCATGAGTGTGTGATTTAACTTAAGTAAATACGCACTTGTTTTTGTTTTTGCTTTAAATCCAACTGTTGCTGAATTTATAGAATGGTCTTAAAAGGAAGATATCAGAGTTGAAGTTATTGATTCTATATTCAAATATAATAATGTGGACATACTAAAATTTATGTATGCATTTAAATGCCAGATCCAACAGAGGAGCAATGCTTGAAATTGTATCTTTCATATTCTATTTCAAACTGAAAACAAAACATATCCTCAGACTTCCAAAGTGGTATCAAAAACACATCTTCTGACAAGTTATTAGATTGACAGCTGCACAATATCTCAGATGCAGAGACTTCTGACATACAGAAGAAGACAATAATGAGGATGGAGCCAAAGTGAGGCTGTCTAGGGGCTATTTTTTCTGGGTGTCAGAAGCAAGCCAGAAACATGCAGTTGCAAAGATCTAACTAAACTACTCCGTTCTCGTGTATAATTAAAAACCGTGCACATACTGTATAATTTTTGGTTATTTATATTTCTTTTATTTCCTTTAAACTGGAGAAACTATTATTGGTAACTTTTACAGTCCCTTCACGGGATTCTGAAGAATTAATTGGGAGTGTCAAGGACTAAATTTAAACTGTCATTCAAGCTAGAAACTGCAAAGAAAAATTGAGGACAGAGTCACAATCCAAAGAGTAAAATAAAGTTTGCAACAATCTAAATTACCCAGATTTAGACAACTGGACTAAACTAGCATCACCAAAGTGACCGATTCACATTCAACCTGTAAGAAACATAGATACAGCCCAAGGCGGAAAGGACCAGACTCCACAATTCAATGTGCAGGTGGGCTCTCTGGTCAACTCACTGGGACAACCAATTCAGCAGTCTTCTTCTCCTTTGGAAGGAGAGAGGCCCAAAGGAGATTCTCTTCACAAAATGACCCCCCTCCCCCCGGCACAGCCTCTCCCCACCCAGCCACCTACTAGATTCCATTTCCCCACCTCTGTCTTCAGATTAGATCCCTAATTGGAGCCACTGCTTTGAGTCAGATGTGAAGGAGTGTCAGGCCTCAACTGAAAATGTCAAATCGTGATGACCTGAAGAAACATCCAAACTAAAGGAAAAGTTGGAACAAAAGAGTCAGGGAAAAAAGAATCAGGACGAAGCACGATACCAGTTTCAGGACAAGGTTCCAGACAGACTTGCTCCCCGAGAGGTCGACATTTGCCCTTTAGCTCCCATCTGCTAAAGTAAATCTCAGTTTGAGTGGAGGAGGAGAACAGGAGGATGAAGGGGACGGACCGGGAGCATGGCGGCCGGGGTCCCTGAGTTTACCTGACACCAGATGGGCTTCTAATCTCCTCCTTAGGGAGCCCTGTTCTCTTCTCCCGCCCACCCCCTCCCGCGTCCCAGAGGCCTTTGGTGGAAAAGAACAGAAAATTGGGGAAGGAGTTGGAGGGGCTGGAGCAGCAGGGAAGGGGTTGGTTCTGGCCTTACCCTAGCGGCTCTGGACGAGTAGGGGTCCTCGAAGAGGGCCCACATGCGGGGCTGCAGCCTCTTCCAGCGGCCAGACTTGCCGTCGGGGCCCCCCAGGCCCGCGGCATCCTCGATGCCCAACCTCTTGGCCGCCAGGTCCTCGTCGTCTCCGGGGTCGCCGCCGATGAGGTCGGGGGTCTCGAAGATGTCGAGCGCCTCCTCGGCGTCGCGGTGCTGCCGGTAGGTCATCCAGCAGCAGGGCTCCACGTCCGTCTCGTCGATGCCCCAGAAGGCCAGCTCCTCCTCGAAGAGCGGCCCGCACACGTCGGCGGGGCAGTGCAGCTTGCCGGTGCGGTAGTAGTTGAGCACATAAGCGAAGACGCCCGGGTGCCGGTCGAAGAAGAACTCGCGGCCGCCCCCGGGGTGGTCGCCGCCGCCGCCGCCGCCGCCTCGGGGACTGCAGTTGCCCGCGCCGCCCTCAAAGCAGCCGCCCGCCCCGGGGGACAGCGGGGGCGGTCGCGGCGGCGGCGAGAGCGAAGGGGGCGACGGCTGCAGCTTGTCGCCCGCCGCCGTCAGGCAGTCGCCCTGGGGCTCCGAGGCGGCGAGAAGGGCCAGGCGCGTCCCAGGCAGGGTCTTGAGGGTGCTGCGGTAGGTTTCGTGCCGGGTGCCCCCGACATTGAGGATCACCCTCTCGTTGTTCTCGATCTTGCCCATCTCTGTGGCTCAGACATGACTGGGGGGAGGCGAACACAGCGCCAAGTTAAAGATCTCGGCCGTCAGAGCCGCACCATGACCCCCACCCCCACGCCGAGCCCGAGTCCCAGGATGCAGGCTTGGAGACAGGCGAGGGGCAACTGACCCTCCCCGAAGGAGATGCGCGCCCAGCCCTGTCCCCGCCTCAAGCAGCACACCTTCCCCAGGCTTCCAGAACACCAAGGAAAGTGGTCCCTGCCTCCCTGACCTTCCAGGACACTTTCTTTCCTGCCTCACACCTTTCTCCCCTTCCTCTGATCTCTCCTACTTCATCTTTTCACCCTTCACCCTCCCTCCCCTCTGTCCCCTCTCACAGAAAACCTGCTTCTAGGCCCGAACCCCCATTCCTCTCCTCTCCTCTCCCCAAACCCCTTATCTCTACTTCCTAGACCCTTTCTCCCCCTCTCTTGCTCCTTACTCTCCCCCTGCATTGGCCCCTCTCCTCCCCTCCCCTAAACCCTCCTTCCTCCTTCCTTGACCTGGAGGCAGTTCCCTTAGGCAAGGAGTTTCTCCGCTGAGGCAACTTGGCAGTGTTGGGTGAGAGCCCCCATTCCACGCGTACCCTCGGTACTCTGGACGGCTCGCAGCGCCCGGGCACTCGGGGAGTGCCCTTTGCGTGCCCTGTTCTCGGTTCACTCCCACTCTCCCTCACGGACCAGGCAAAAAGACTGAACGCTCCCTGCTGTTGCCTTTCACCAAGGAGACCTGTGACTAATTTCCTGATCCAATTTCCTTTTCACATTATTACCGTTGTTGTTGTTGTTGTTGTTAATATTGTTATTACTTGGGAAAAGAAACCACTAACTAGGTTTCATTTTTGAGAATTCGAATGATCAGTGCATCCCACCCCATCCCCCTTCCCAAGAAAAACAAACGCCTGGGGGATGCAGAGTGGGGGGGTTGCGTTCTAGGAGGGGCGAGACCCTGGGAAAAGCCACTGGAGGCACACCCCCCGGATCCCTGAGCTGACAGTGTCCCCTTTTCCAGTCTCCCAGCCACCTCTCCCCAGGGCTTCACCTCCACATTCCCATTGCGGAAGGGGGCGGGGGCATGCCTGTCTGCAGGGTCAACATGCCCTTCCCGGCAAATCACCCCCTTTCCCTCCCGCCCCCAGATACCTTAACGAGACCGACAGAAAAGTGGTTCTGCTTTGGTTTCCGAGTGGACGAGGTTCTCCGGGCAGCCGGACTGAGTCCTGACACCCAGCCGAGCCGCCCTTCTCCAACGAGAAACTACTTGTTGGCGTTTTCCGGGTTCAGGTGGTTGGGCCGCTTCTCGGGGCGCTGGGGTCGCGGAGCCAGCCCCCGCCGGCCGCCGGCCGCGCTCCCCGCCTTCATTCTGCGAGCTGCCGGCTCGCCCCGCGCCAACCTCCGCGCCCAGAGTCACCATCGCGCAGGGCTGGGCAAACCATGGAGCTCGGGGCGGGTCCAGCCGGCGCTCCGCGACCTCGCCGGGAGCCGGCACAGCGGCTGGCCGCGGCCACGGCGGAGCTGACCGGAGGTCAGGACGGCTCACCCACTTGAAGGGGAAGTCACCCGGCCCCGACCCGGACCTGCAGGTTTTGTTTCTCCCCCGAAAGCAACCGCTGCTAGTGCTGTCCCTTCCGCACCACTCGCCGTCAACCACCCGCGCCAGAGCACAGAGCTCAGGAAAGGGTGGGTGGGTGGGTGGGTGGGTCTGGGGAAGCTCTCGTGTACCAACCAGGTTCATATATTTTTCTTCCGTGAAGCTCTATCCCCACCCTCTCTGGAGCTTCTGCCTGCCTTGTTTACACCCCACTCTCCACACCCTTTCTCTTCCCACTGCCCCACCCCTCCCAACAAGTGAGAGAGCTCTAAGACCAATTCCTTTTTTTTTTTTTCCCTTAATGACAGCTGATGAGAGAGAGAGGTCTACTTACAGGTGACAAGTGAGTCTTGTTTCTCGCGTCTTACACATGGCTCTGGCTTGCTCTTTCCAGTCAAATGTAGGTCTCCAGTCACCACATCATGGTTATATAAAACAAAACAAGTTTAAAAAGTTTATTCCAGGAACATAATCCTCTAGCAAGTGAAAATTCAGGTTTCTTTATCAGAAGCAACAGAGGCGAGCTACAGATATCCAAGTACCAAAGCAATTACCTAATTAGCCAATTTCTTCCTCTCAAATTTTTATTGGGCCTTGTTTTAGTTTGTTAGGGCTGCCATAACAAAGTACCACAAACTGGACTGTTTAAACAGCAGAAATTTATGATCTCACAGTTCTGGAGGCAAAAGGTAGAAATTAAGGTGTGGTCAGGGTTGGTTCCTTCTGAGGGCTGTGAGAATTGGACCTATTCAAGGCCTCTCTCCTTGGCTTGCCGATGGCTCTCTTATCCCTGGGTCTCTTCACATCATTTCCCTTTATGCATGTCTGTGTATCCCTGTTTATATAAGAACACTTGTCACAACAAATTAAGGCCCACCTTAATGACTTCATTTTGACTTGATCACCTCTGTAAAACCCTATCTCCAAAATAAGGTCACACCCTGAGGCACTGGAGGCTAGGACTCCAACATCTTTCTGTTTTGGTGGGAGGGAGGGGGATGGTGCTGGGACACAGTTCAACCCAGACCATTTCACACCACCAAACAGAGCGTGTGTTTCTGTGTCTGTGTGTATGTTGAGAGAGAGAGAGAGTGTGAGAGACTCTATTCCACAGGTATAGCTTGAAAGGATTGAAATCCGTGGAGTAGGTAAAACACCAGGTTGTTCATGCGAAGAAGTCTCTCTGGAAAACATATCAATATTGACACCGCGATTGAGAAAGTGCAAGAGTTATGAATTACTATATAAGAAAGTTTTCACAATATATAGGACTGTAAGGTGGGCAGTTAAATATAAACAGTTCCTTAAGAGATCATCTATCTGTTATGACAGTAGATCATTAAATAAAATAAAGACCTAAAAAGTGTCTGGAAAGTTATTGATGTCTAGGAAACCAATGTAAGAAAATATGATATGTATCCATTCATAAGAAATTTACTAACAGTATGTCAGTCTATGTGTAGTAATAACCTCAGGAACAGCTATACGGACCCAACCTTGTGACAACAAAAATTTGCCTTTACTAACACACACAGACACGCACACACACAAAAGTGTAAAGCTTAACTGCTGAGGGAGTGATTCTAGTTTAGTACTATTATCAATCTCTGAGGCATTTCTTAAAATAAGTGATAGTAAATTTCAACTGCCAGAAAATTTCCAAAGAAAAATTATATTCAAATTATAACATACATTCTCATATTATCTAGATGGTTCCTTATATAGCTTAATGTAAATTCAATAGGGAGAAAAAGGCATATGGTTTGCTTTAAAATAAATTAGCAATAGTAAGTGTAGTAACAGAAGCATTTATAATAATGGATAACATTTACTGAGATCTTACTATGTGCAAAATGTTTTACATGAATTACCCCCTTTTAACTTAAATGGAGGAAATATTCACATTAAATTATAAGACTTCCAGAAAGATAACTCATACAGATGGCAAAAATCAATAATGGAAGCCTTTAGCTTGATAAAATTAAATTTGTATTATGAGGGATCTACAGAGAAACCAAAGGCGGCGGGGGGGGGGGGGGGGGGGGGGGCGGACCGGGAATGCTGCAAAGGACTCATGGAAGGGAAATGAGAAAGCAAAGGTCTAATGAATCAATTTGAGCCTAAGGTTATATAAGCTATCTAGAAATAATCACATCGACAAGAGGATCATCTTTTAGAAGAATCAGACTTCTCTTGTGATTCACAAAGCATTAGATGTGAAACTAGAGAACATTTCAGATAAGTTTGAAAATAAGAACGTGGAAAGATAAAAGGAAGAGATGTGCATACCAATGGAGAATTGATAAACAAAGCAGTGAATGAAATACAGTCTCTCTATCTCTCTCTCTCTTTTTTTTCTGGTCAATATAAGAGGGGAAGATCTTAAGACAAATATCCAGGGGCGCCTGGGTGGCTCAGTCGTTAAGTGTCTGCCTTCGGCTCAGGTCATGATCCTAGGATCTTGGGATTGAGCCCCGCATCCGGCTCCCTGCTTGACGGGAAGCCTGCTTCTCCCTCTCCCACTCCCCCTGCTTGTGTTCCCTCTCTCGCTGCGTCTCTCTCTGTCAAATAAATAAAATCTTTAAAAAAAAAAAAGACAAATATCCAGGCTTCATTATATAAGACAGGAGAGAACAGAAAACCCCTCCAGCTAACTAACTCCCCAATCCTTCTGTAAAAGACAGATAAAAGTGAAAAGAAAGCAAATTTTTGAAAGATGGCAATGGAAAACTGGGGTGGAAAAAACAGTTGTGGTCTCCTTTGTTGGCCTGTGTGGAGCAAGGATTTAAAAGACCCTATGGACATTACCCAAGGCTGAGAAGTAATTGAAATGCTGACTTCTTTATGTCCTCCAGTCAGCATCACAGGACTACAGACAGGGAGCACTACATCACCATCAGAAAGGTGGATTGATCTCATTAAGCCACATTGTGACAGTCAGAAGGACATACTTGTGAAAGTTTAACAGTTGAACAAATCAACTCTTTTAAAGTTCAGCATAAGGATTTTTAAAATATTCTTCACCTTCAAAGAGCCATATATTCATGGACACAATTCTTCTGCCGATTAAAAAATGGCCACAATTGCCCAACCCACGTTATAGATATGCCCCCTTCATAATGTGACTTCGCATCTTCTCCCATCAAATCTCTTTCTCCAACCTCTCAATCTGCACTGGCTTTGTAACTTGCCTTAGCCAACAGAATGTGTAAGTGATGTTGTACCAGTTTAAAGCCTTGGCTTCAAAAGGTCTTGCATACTTCTGCCCTCTCTCTTTTTTGGAAATTTACCCTGGTCCTATGAGAATAAGTCTTAACTGGCCTGCTTGATGATGAGAGACATATATGCCAGTATCTCTCAATCTCTGTCTCTCTCTTTCTCTGTCTCTCTCTCTCTCTCACACACACACACACACACACACACAGAGAATTGCTACAAAGAGAACCAGTATTAGGAAACAAGTCAGAGGATATAATAGAGCAAGGATTTAAAAGAAATAAATACCTAAAAGAAATAGAGTGCCCCTGACAGCTAAAACTTCTTATCTCTGCCCCAGATGAATCACGGCTAATTCCCAGAAGCAGGACTGCCTTGCTCTTATGTATGTGTCCAGAAGAACTGTCCAGCTGAACCTAGCCCAGATGCACTGACCCACAAAATTATGAGCTAAAAAAAGACTATATCTAGGCTAGTAAGTTTTGGAGTTGTCTGCTACCAAGCTGATTCATCCTCTAAGTTCCCTTTATCTGAAAAGTATAAAAAAAAAAAATTGAGCTTACTTACCTACCCTCTTAACAATAACATTTATATCAGGTATTGCAAATTCTAAAAGAAAGTATATGATATGTATTTTCCTTATTCCATACATTTTGAGAGGCAGTATTTCACAGTGGTTAAGTCGACGGGCCATGGAGACAGGTAAACTGGAGTTCATTTTCTGAGTGTTACTCACCAGAGGTCTGACCTTGAGAAAATTGCACAACTCCTTGAACCTCAATTTGTTCTTTTAGAGAATGGGGAAAATGACACTATACTTAATATGAGGATTAAATGACATAAGGCCAATAAACACTTAAGAAAGTTTCTGGAACATTTTAGGCATCTACTAATAGTAACTTTTATTGCCAAATGATGAAGTCTCACACCAAAATAACATGATTAATAATTGACAGAAGCAGGGCCATAACCATATCCTCTGATGACAATCCTAAGCCCTATCTATTCTACCATCCTGCTTTGTACAGAGGTCAAAAGTAGGTCAAATACTGGATAGTCTCTAGAGATGTAATGAAGCCAAAACCCTAGAATCCTTGCAGTAAGTCTGCATCCTTCTCAAATTATTTTAACTTGAAAATGTATGTATTAACCATTTTTAATGACCTAATTTAGGCAATACACTTTTTTTAACTACCCAGCATAGTTACTTATGACAATTATGGTAAGATAGATGTACACATGAAGAATTCATGGATTACAAATTTTACAACTTGGTCATTTGATTTGCCAGGAATATATATTTGCATTGCTTGTCAAGAGCAAGAGTCTCTGCATGAATACCCAGCATAACAACATAGACAGCCAATTTGAGCTTACTGTATACCTAGAAAATTAATGTGCAAGAGTGCTGAGAAAGGCATTTTAGATTGAAGGAAGAGAAAAATTTTCTACGAATATAGGATGATGTTGACTGATGAGCATTAAAAGCAAGAGTTGAAAATAGCCTTCTTGTTATGAAAAATTATGGGTCATAGTCCTCTGCACCAGCCATTCATTTTAATAGATGATGATGATAGATGGATGATAATGATAGATTAGATAGATAGATAGATAACCTTAGTAAATGGAGCAACGCATTATCCACCATACTACTTGAAGTCATTGTAACTTACATAAGGGGCAATAAGCAGTAGTTTTTTTTTCTAGAATGACTGCTCTACCACTCAGGGTTAAATTATTGGCAGATATCAATAAAGTGCACTTTACTTTCTAATGTTCTTGTTCCGCAATAGGTCATGGATGCTAGATAAGACATTTCATTAAAATTTTATAATCTGTATTTTTAGTACTTTCCTGCCTTCTATTGATAATTAT